TTGGAGAAAACAAGGGTTTCATATTACATGCCTTTGCGAGGAAAACAAAAGTATCAAGTTACAAAGTTGGCGTGAAGAGCTAAATTGCCACGTTTGCTGCTTCAACGTATTATTGAATTTAAAATGAACGAAAATCAACGTAAAATACCAGGAGTAATTAATTTGTACGTAATTTTTGGACCTTGAATGAAAATACGACCTTGAAACATATGCACTGCAAAGGGGAAAAGCCCTAGCAGACTACCAAGGTAGACACAAACCGGAAGTGAACCGAGCATGGGTGAGTACTTATGGGACTACCGTGCCAGAGCTATCAATTGCGCTCTGCTCTATCTGAGACTGTCTCACTAGTTAATGATATTCCACCGAATGGGCCTCCATTGCAAGCTAGTTCCAGTCCAATACCAAGAATACGAATATGGTCTATTTATGAGCCACTACGTATACAATTAAGCAAGACCTTGTTTATGTTTTCAACGACCATTCACATGCATGAGTGACCACAATTACGATATCGAGTAAATCGACTCACGCACAAATCAGTTATGCCCGTATATACCTGGGATTATAGACTAATCAACAATTAAACTTGCAAACTTTATAATTTATTACTCCATATAGCATGCACTTTTGCGGCTCACTGAAAGTGCGTGGAGTGTTTTTTTTGGCAGTAGCCGTGTGCATGAATTTTCGTTTGGTACAAACATGCTTGCAGATCTTTTTTTTTTTTTGCAAAATCCCCCACCCTCCTCCCTCCTCAAAAGTGAAATGGTCCACCCCTAATATCTGCTTTATTTATCACTCCTACTCCTGATGTAATTGATAGACGGACGGACGGACAGATGGATGAACGAATGAATGAAATGATATGTCAGTGTAAGGATTCTTTTCTTGTTTTTATTTCCCAGGAGTCTACGAAGCGTCCAGAAGAAAACGGGGAGATGGAACAGGCAGAGCATGCATACACCAGCGGGGAACACGAAGCACCTCAGCAAACAGAGAAAAGCCAAAGAGTATGATGTTATCCTTAAAATGTAAATAATAATGTAATAATGTCAAGTCTGACCGAATTGGACTCCACTCAGTCCTATTACCATTGCGAATGGTACTCCCTGAATAGTACTCGATAAATAATGAAAATGATTTAGAAACTGCTGTCATAGCGAAAGCAAAAAAAAATAAAGAAAGAAAGAAAGAAAGAAAGCAAATAAATAACACTTGATTCAGTCTTTAATTATATAGCAGTCAGTTAATCCAGCGATTGTCAGCACAGCTATTATCCTTTAATTTTTGAAAACTGTCCAATTTGGGAAAAAATAGGACAGTTTGTCTCAGCCAATGAAATTAAGCTATTAACCTTCCGAAGATCTCCGAAGATCACCCGAACGCTCCCGCAGATTTCCGAAGATCACCCAAACAATTCTAAATACTTCGAAGATTACCCGAACAATTCCGAAGATTTCCAAATATCACCCGAACATCTCCAAAGATTTCCAAAAATCACTTGAGTACTTCCGAAGATCGCCCGAACACTTCCGAAGATTTCCGATGATCCACCCGAACACTTCCCAGGATTTCCGAAGACTTGTGACAATCTCCGGCGATCTCCGAAGATCACCGGATA